GACATCATGTGCTTCCTGACATGTGCCACCAAAAAGGACACAGCATCACTTCCGTGGGACTGCTGCCAAACTGTGTGCCAAACTCTGACCTAATTGTAAAGGAAACATTGGACAAACCCAAATGGAGTGACAGCCTACAAAATAACCGGTCTGTCCTCTTAAAACACACTGCTGTCATGGAAGATAAAGAATGACTGAGGAACTCTTCTAAATCAAAGAAGACTAAAACCACATGAAAACTGAATGCATGTTTATTTTGCTGTTGAAGGATATTTGGTGAGTTCTGGGTAAGATCTGTAAATTAGATCATTGTATTCTATCAGTATTAATTTTCCTTATTGTATTTCTGCTGTGTAAGAGTTTTTAAGATGCATACACTAAAGTATTCAGAGGGGAAGGAATTTTATGTTTGCAACTCACCCTCAAGTGGCCTAGACAACATATGTATATTGGTATGTATTTATCTATGTTTGTGTGTGTGCATGTGTGGAGAAAGAGATATTAAGCAGATATGGTAATATTGTTAACACTTGGGAAAAACTGGATGAAGCATGTATGGAAACTTTTTGTATTATTCTTGAAACTTTTGTGTAAGTCTCAAAATTACTGAATCAAGATTAAAAAATAAGACAGCAAAAAAGGCAAGTGGAACTCGGAAGTTTATGGTGAAGGTTTGCTGATAATGAACTGGGAAAATTCCAGAGGAAACAGGATGTAGAAACAGAAAGATTAAACTTCATCCTGAAACCTGGGCATCTTCCAAAGCAAACACACGAACAAAGTTAACTGTGCTTCCCCAAAGTACCTTTCATTCACATCTCCTTTGAAAAATGCAATAAATTGAGCACCAAATCCTGCTTGATTATCACTGTTTGTCAGGGTATGGCTATTCAATTTATGTCTCCTATATTTGAGGTCAGAACTGAGCTTAGGTTTGAGTCATGAGTTAGGTGAATTCTCCTAGAATTGAAACACTGACACCTTTACCTCCACGTAGCATCTGGAAAACACAAGAAGCTTCCAGGACCACATGTGGTCAGCTGCTAACCCTCACGGAACACTGAATTCTTCAAAGACATAACTGATGAGCTGTTTTCCTACTCAGTTGCCTGAGTTTTAGTCTGAATAACCAGGTAATCCTGTAGACATAGCCTGTGGCTTGAAAGTTACAATCTTGCCTCTTCAGGATGACAGCAAAGAATACAAATCTCAAAAGAGCAGCGTTTTACTTAAAAAAAAAAAAAACATGGAAATAAGTTTCAGTTGCTACTGCAGATACCAAAGGATTATTAAAGTATTGTTGAGTTATTAGGTGGGTGACCCTTATAAAAAGGCATGCAGCATTGGGCTAAACCGAATTTAGAAAAACAAACAGAATACATCTTTATCCCAAAGAGCTTATATTTGGAAAACAATGCAGGAAAAAACTGGAGAAAAAGATCAAGTTATTAAACATGCTTAGAAAATGTCTAGAGCACAGTATGAAGTATTCTGTGAGGAAGACGATGAATACACACTATTTGGAACTATGAATTCTAAAGGAGTGACAGGGACACAACCCACACTGCCCTTGCAGTAGACAACAGCCTCACTGTCATGCCCCTTTAGGACCGGGTGGCATGCAGTGAGGACAGGGCTATAAGTAGTAACTGACAGGGAATTTGCAGTATACACAAGGCTTATGCAGACCAGATGGTACTGACGTAAAAGGGAACATACACAGACAAAAATAGAGCATGGACGTTCTACGTAAACAATGGAGCAAATATCTCTTACAGGTGGGGACAGATGGGGAAACTGGTCCTTTCATAGAAAGGCAGGATGGGGTGGCAGAAAGAACTTAAGCTTTGGTGTCAGCTAAATTGGGATTCAAATCCTAGCTTTTTTTTTTTTTTTTGGACAGGTAGAGTTATAGACAGTGAGTGAGAGAGAGAAGAGAGACAGAGAGAAAGGTCTTCCTTCCATTGGTTCACTCCCCAAATGGCCACTGCAGCCAGAGCTATGCTGATCTGAAGCGAGGAGCCAGGTGCTACCTCCTGGTATCCCATGTGAGTGCAGGAGCCCAAGAACTTGGGCCATCCTCCACTGCACTCCTGGGCCACAGCAGAGAGCTGGACTGGAATAAGAGCAACCAGGACTAGAACCCAGAGCCCATATGGATGCTGGTGCCACAAGCCAAGGATTAACCAAGTGAGCCACAGCTCCGGCAAATCCTAGTTCTTCTACTACCTGTGTGAACCTGGTCAAGTTACCTAAACTCTGCAGCCCTCATTTCCCCGATCTACTAGGTGGCCACTAGCCTGTGCTCCTGTTGTTGGTATTAAGTTCAGTGCTCCTGCAAGCATCTAGCAGAAGCAAACACACAGCAAGTGGACTCTTGCTGCCCTTCATCAATCTACCAAAGCACGGCATTGTGTTGCTGTCTTGTTGTCTTCCCTAGGAGACTGTAAGCTTCTCACAAAAGCAATTGTGCCTAATGGCCTCAATCTTTCAAAGATCTAAGCAGTGTCTGACTCTGGTAGATTGTCAGGAAGTAGGAACATACTACTGTACATTCAGATCATGAAGGCTTAATAGTCACTTCGTGCCAGCTCTATGCTAGGAGCAGGTCATGAATCACCTTAGCTAATCCTCCCAACAATCCTTTGCTTGTCAGCATGAACAATCTGTACACATGATGAGATTATTGAGGCTTAGAAACTGGCCCCCATGTAGACAACCAGCAAACGGGGAGTCTGCCCTCAGCCAGGCCAGACTCCAGGGCTTTGCTGAGCTGGCAAAGCAGAGAACTGCTCTCTTGCATTTGCCAGGAAAATTCCATGGACCAATAGGAGCTTCAGCAGCTGTCTGAGTACCAAAAAGGGAGAGAATGTGTGAGAGGGGCGAGAGCATGCAGGCACAGACAACACAGCTTCAGAGACAGCTCTGATGTGGCACAGAGGGTGGGGTGCAGGTTTTGAACAAGGGGAGTCAGACCGGTGGGCACGAAAGGGCCAGCTCAGCTCAGGTCTCCCACATCCACCAGGCGCAGGGGAGCCGTGGGGCCGCATTGAGTGCAGGTGAACCCAGAGAAGACACTCCATATAGAGCTGTCAGGACGGGCTGCGGCCAGGCGCAGACAGGGATGGGGTAGCAGCCAGGGCTGCTCCAGATGGCGTGGGTTACAGTGAGGATTTGCTTCTGGGCAGGGGAGGGGACTCTGGAGTGTTGCAGTGCCTGGAGGGGGCAGCAAGAAAAGCCATCCCCTTGACAACAGACTGCAGGCAGCAGTAGTCACTCCCCCCGCCCCCCAGGCAGAGTTAAACAGTAAGAGAGAGAGAGTTATAGACAGTGAGAGAGAGACAGAGAGAAAGGTCTTCCTTCCATTGGGTCACTCCTCCAATGGCCGCCATGGCCGGTGCTGTGCCCATCCGAAGCCAGGAGCCAGGTACTTCCTCCCTGTCTACCATGTGGGTGCAGGGACCCAAGCACTTGGGCCATCTTCCACTACCCTCCAGGGCCACAGCTGAGAGCTGGACTGGAAGAGGAGAAACCGACACAGAATCCGGCGCCCCAACCGGGACTAGAACCCCGGGGTGCTGGCGCAGCAGGGGAGGATTAGCCAAGTGAGCCACAGCTCCACCAGCATTAGTCACTTTTTAACAAGAAGGGGAAAAACTTAACGTAGTGGTTGAAAGTGGTGTCCCTGTTACATGTGGGCTACATTAAGGCTCCCAGCCGTGCAACCTTAGCAAAATGATTAAACCTTTCTGGGTCTCTGTGCCTCTGTACCCAGGGGTGGTGTCTGCAGCCTGGCCTTATTGAAATGTTTTCTCTGATGGCTAAGGCATCTATAAGAAAGAGGAAAGGTATTAGGAGTAGATCAAAAACCGCATGCTCAAGTAGTTCATTGGCTTTTTCCTCATGTTTTCAGCTGGTGCCAGACTCAGGTCCACAGAATGCTCTACAGAATTTGCTGTTTACTGGGAGAATGATTACAAAGTAGGTTCCAGGTCTTTAATTGTAGCTGCTGACAGCAACATGGTTGTCCTGTTAACAGGTCTAACATCAGACACGTGTCCCATGCCAGCTGTCCCAGTGCCTCTTCCTGGCCATCCAAGGCAGCTTTGCCTTTTCGTCCTCCACGCACAAAACCTGGAGCCCAATTTTAACCTCAGTTGTTCTCCTAGCACAGGTCTGGCTCCTTCTTCCATCCCAATGCCTCTCTGACTCGTTCCTTTTCCACTTCCACCTCCTTCTTTCTCGTCCGTGCCCCTCCCACCCCTCACGGGTCTCTACAGACCTACACCTGTTTCTGCTTTCAACTTTGTGCCAAATGAATGATCAACCGATATTTAGGATACCACTTAAACCGCTTATCTCCCTTCCTGGAGACTTTTCAATAGCTCTTTTTCTGAGTGCTAGGGCGAGGTTGGATTCCTTGATTTGTCATTCCAGGCTTTCCTTGCACAATCCTTCCCCGGATTCTTTGCTGGGGGCGGTGCCTTGAACCCACCGAGTTTTCGCGATCCTTCTCCCCCTCCTGCTGGAAGGCCTGCTGTGAGTCCCACCACCAGTTTCCCTGACCTGCTGACTTTTCCCACTTGGGATCCCCACCCAGGCCAGCACGGAACTATCTAATGCACCCGTGACTTTGTCTCAAAGGGTGGGACCCTGCTTTATGTTTTGTTTTGGTTTTCTTTACTTGAACCTCCCCAACAGAGAGCCGAGGCTCAGACACCCAAAAACTGTTGAACGGATGGATGGATGTGGGAAGGAACACGCTCCTGGCTGAGCCTCTTCTTCCCTCATTCGCAGCGCCCTAACCGGGTTTTGAATGTAGGCAAGCGAGCCCGACCCCCAGCGCCGCCGACGGACCTGTGGTGGGCTCGGTTCCCGAATCCAGAGCACGTCCTCGTCGCCCGCTCTGGCCCGAGGACAGCGCTGCAGAGTCCCGCGCTTCCTCCCTCTCCGGGAGGCGCCGCTCTGTGGGAACCGGGTGGGCTGCGGCGTCGCGCGCTCCGACGCCCACTCCCCCATCCCCGCCCTGGCCGGGGCTGCGGGGACTTGGGGGTCGCCCCTCGCCCTCCCCCTTGTGGCCATTGGGCCGCTCCGCGTTGCGCGGGTGCGCGGGGCGGGGCGGGGCCCTCCCCATCTCCCCTCGGCTCCCCTCCCCTATTTCCCGGGGTGGGGACGTCGGGAGGCGGAGGCGTGGAGGGGCTGCGGCGGGGCGTCCGGTTACATCTGGGTCTTCCGCACCCGGCGGCCGCAGAGCGCTGAGTTTGCGGGCTCGCAGTTGGGCAGCATGCGGGCTGCGTGGATGCGGGCGCTGCTGCTGCAGCTGCTGCTGGCGGGGCCTGGGGGCTGCCTGAGCCGCCAGGAGCTCTTCCCGTTCGGGCCGGGGCAGGGGGACCTGGAGCTGGAGGACGGGGACGACCTCGTCTCCCCGGCCCTGGAGCTGAGCGGGGCGCTCCACTTCTACGACAGATCCGATATCGACTCGGTCTACGTGAGTGCGACCCGGGGCGGGCGGTGTGGGGTAGCTGGAGGGAGGCCGCGGGGGGCAGGTCGGCGTCGGAAGGAAGGCGGGGCTCGCCGGGGGCGCCCGCGGAGCTGGACGGACGTGGGCGTAGCGGGCGCGACCGCGGACCGCTGGCAGCCCGCGCACAGGGCGCGGCGCTGGGTTTCCGCGCCCGCAAGGCTCCTGCCGAGGTCTCCGCAGCGCGCGGCCGGTGTCATCGAGGGGCTCGCCCTCCGGGTCTGCTGGGCCCCGGGCGCGCCCTGCCCTGACTCTGGTTCCCGGGCGCCCAGGACCCCGGGCGGAGTTTCCTGCCCTGCAACTGTGGGCTGCATCGCCACCGGGAGGTCGGTCTCCGCCTCGCCTTTGTCCCGCGCATTTGGGGCCAGGACCCGGCCCAGCTCGAGTGGGACCGGTGCAGGCGGTCCGTAGAAGGGCTGGAGTTGGGGACCCCTGCGGTTCCAGGCCAGAACGGGCCGCGTGTGTGCTTGTGTATGGACTCGCGGATATGTCTTGGCAGTTTTTCTGTTCTCCAGTTGGTCTGGACCCGGAGTCCAGAGTTTAGGGCACCCTAGGATTCCCAGTTCCTGTGGCTGAGCCTGTCACTGTGGCGGGGGCGTGGCCAGATGTGTGAGGAGGGGGTCAGGTTACCTTTAGCTCTCTGGAGCCTTGGTAGACCTGGTCGACCTGGAGGCGCTGTCACTTTGGTGGAATCTTTCACTACTGCTGGTCCCCCTGCAGCCACCATGTTGCTTTGTTATAAGGTCTATGTACATTCCAGCAGGTGGGGGGGGAGGGTGTCCTCACTGCCAGAGAGAAGGCTGTGCTCTCGGCCGGCCTGGCAGGCAACTCTTGAACAGGATTCACTGGAGCCCTCCACTTAGCACCCACAAAGAAGAGCCCTGGCCCCCCTTTGGACAGCCTGATGAAGCCTGAAGACCCTCTTTCACCTTAATGCTTTTGAATGTACAAAATAAAATCCACAAGATTGCCAAGGAAACCCAATCAAAATATTAAATGGTTCAGGCTTTGGCTTAGCAGTTAAAAGGTATTAGTTAGGACACCCATGTCCCATATGGGAGTGCCTGGAGTCAGTCCAGCTGGGTTCCTGACTCAGTCCTTCTGCTATGGCAGACCCTGGGTGGCAGCTGTGGTGGCTCAAGGAATTGTGTTCCTGCATTGAGTTCCTAGCTCCTGGCAGTGGTTGCTAACATTTGGAGAGTGAACCAGCTGATCGGAGTCTCTCTGTGTCTTAAAAAAAAAACAAACAACCAACAACACATATTTATAGAGTGCTAGGTATGCTTCCTATCCACCACATTGAGTAACAGGGTGTAGCAGTGGGTCCAGCAGTGGATCCTATAACTGTTGACCTTTGAAGATCATGAGGACTGAGCAATTCAGAAACCACTGCAGCAAGTGTAGTGTGGTACTGAAATACCTGTGAGTTGTGTTAGCAACAAAACCAAGACTTGCTGCTGGATTGGTTTGTTGCCTACATCCATAACCGAAGGAAATGCTAAATGGTGAGTATTAAAACATTAAATTTCTGGGGCTGCTACTGCGACATAGCTGGTAAAGCCAATGCCATTATCCCCTTTGGTCCTGGTTTGAGTCCTGGCTGCTCCAATTTGGATCCACCTCCCTGTTAATGGCCTGGGAAAAGCAGTGGAAGATGGCCCAAGTACTTGGGCCCCTACTGTTACTGGTGAATGGCAGGGTTCTTGTCTTCAGGCAAGAAAAAATTTAGGTGTGAGACAGAGTAGTGGAAAGTAAAGTAAAGTTTATTAGGGAAAAGGACATCTGTAAGAAGGGATGGCCACCTCTCCAGACAGGACCTGGGAGAGAGTGCCCAGTTGCTTGGACTGGGGGGAGGAGCAAGGTTACATGGTTGAGTGGAGAGATTACACCTGGGCAGTTAGGTGGGCGACTCAGCAAAGAGGCAGAAGGCTGAAAGAGCAGTCCAGTTGAGGCTGGGGGTTTTTAAGGAGATGGGTCTTGCTTCCCCACCTCTGCTCCCCTTGGAACAAAGGGCTTTTTGTATGTAAATAGAAAAACTTCTGAGTTTTCTCCCTGAAGTTATCAGACAGGGGGAAGTCTGGCTGGTGCTGGGCCCCTTTAGAGGAAGGGCAGGGAGGGCTTTTGAAGTGCAGATACTGGGCTGCACTGGAAGGTTATCAGGCAGAAGGGGTGGGGACCCCCACCTGGCAGGTTATCAGGTAGGAGGGGGCAGGGGAGGATGCCAACACTGGGCTGCCCCTGAAACTTTGAGATGCAGATGCATATGCTGGACATAGACGTCTTCTCTTTAGGCCTTTATGTCACACAGACATATAAGCTCATATCTGACTTCCTACCTAACACCTGCCACTTACTTGGGAGACCCAAATGAAGCTTCTTGTTTCCTTCTGGCTCAGCCCTGGCCCTTGTGGCCACTTGGGGAGTCGACCAGCAGATGGAAGATCTCTCCCTTTGTTGCTGAAAATCTAACTCTGATTTTCAAATAAAATAAATCTTTAACAAAAAATCCTTTTAGCATCTGGTTAACAGATCCATGAAATTCTTTTCTTGAACCACTATGGAGATCTTTGGACCCTTTGTTAAGATCAGTGGGTCACTGGATAAGGACTCCCCTGGGTGGAGATGTGCCCTAAGGTGAGGTAGTTTTCTGTTTGTTTTTGTTTGTGCTGGAAGCCATCTTCAAAGAAGGCTAACAATTGAGGGCTGCACTCCCGAGGGGGTGAAGGGCCATCTGCTGACAGCTCAGTGTCCACCCCTACCTGTAGCTGTGTAGATGCTGTTTTGAGCTGATGGAAACCCTCACATGACTCAGAAGGCACATTGCTAGGGAGTATGGGTAAGCACTGGGTGGTCTGTGCAGTCCAGCTGTTGGGAGAATGAAAGGCACACCCAGCAAGAAAGAAAAGTTACTCGTGGAGTAGACCTGCCTGTGTCTGGTGTTTAATCCTCAAAACACCCCCTCCCATCTCTTTTCAGATAAATTCTCTCCATCCCACTATGGGATGCACAGGTGTGTACCACCAGTTAAATGCCAAAGCTTGGAGTTCAACCCCAGTCTGTGTCTGACTCCTAGCTCTTTCAAGCACCCAGGCTAACACGTGGTAATAGACATGCGGAGTTGTTGGTAGGCAGAGTAGTGAGAGAAGACTTCACAGAGATAACACGTAAGACTTCACAGGCAGGTCCCTTTGAGTAGGCACAGAGGAAAAGGACAGACCATTGCAGGTGGAAAGAACCTCAGGAACAAATGCCCGAGGGTGGGAATAGGCATGGCATGTGCTGGGAAAGTGAGGAATCTGATCTGACAAGTGGAGAGTCACTGTTTTAGATCCTTGTGTTTCCAGGCTGCAGCCTTTTAAAGGACAGTATTGGGCACCATTTGCCAAATTGCTCCCATTTCATTGGGACATAGTTTTTCTCGTACTTCACAGATTCTCTAAGTATAAGGATCATTGGGTTGAAATTTTGTGTTGTCAATGGATTGCACAGTAACAAGAAAGGGGATGCATGTCAAGCGTCACTCATTAGCACAAACTCGAAGCAGGCCCAGGGTCCCCTCTGCTGTGGGGCTGTTTGCCACCATTCCTCAGTGGCTCATTTTCCCAAAGAAGTGTGGGTTTTCGCTGAGTAAGAGTAATAGCACCTTTTAGTAGGCAGTTATTACTGATTTCCAGAAGACTGTCCAAGTATGAAGAGAGCCAACTTTGGGGTCAAGCTCCCTGGGTTCAAAGCCCAGTGTCACTGCATTTACTAAGTGAGTTTGGGCAGATCGGCTGATTAACCTAATTCACCCTATCAGAAAAATAGGTATCTTGGCAGTCCCTAGTCCCCTAGGGTAATTCTGAGGATTAAATCTATTTTTAAAAAATATTTATTCATTTATGTGAAGGGCAGAATTAGAGGGGCAGAGGCAAGGGGAGAGAGAGAGAGAGAGGTCTTCCCTCTGTCTATTATTCAAATGGCTGCAATGGCCAGAGCTTGGCCAATCCAAAACCAGGAGCCAGGAGCCTCTTCTGGGCCTGCCATGAGGGTGCAGGGGTCCAAACACTTGGGACATCCTCCACTGCTTTGCCAGGCCATAGCAGAGAGCTGGATCGGAAGTGGAGCAGCCTGGACTCTAAAAAAACCCATATGGGATGCTGCCACTGCAGGCACCGGCCTCACCCACAACACCAAAGCACCAGCCCTGAGGATTAAATCTTAGTAAGACATCTGGAACATGGTAAATAGTTAATGAACATTAACTATTATTCTAACATATTAAACTATCCAAAATAATTAGTAAGACTATAGTGCCCCATTCATATTTATTTATTTTTAGATTTATCTTTTTATTTGAAGGGCAGGGACAGAGAGAGCGAGAACGGGAGAGAGACAGAGACAGACAGAGACAGTGACAGTGACAGCCAGAGAGGTCTTCCATCCTCTGGTTCATTCCCCAAATTTGCAATGGCCAGCCTGAAGCTAGGAGCCTGGACGCCATCCAGGTCTCCCATGTGGGTGCAGGGGCCCAAGTACCTGGGCCATCCTCTGCTGCTTTTCTTGGCTCATTATCAAAGAGTTGGATTGGAAGTGGAGTAGCAGGGAATTTAAGGGGCACCCATATGAGACCCCAGATCACAGATGGATGCTTCACCAGCTGAGCCACAGCGCCAGCCCAGATTTATTTCTTGATGCTTTGTTTTATCATCATCCTTGTTAGCCCTTTTCCTCATCTGGATTGTGGGTTCCTTGAAGGCAAGAACTGGATCCTACCTGTTTTTGTGCCCTAAGCACTTAACACAGTCCTGGTATGGAGTTACAATTTATTCCACTTAGAGAGTAAATGAATTCAGGCTGTTAGACTGACTTATGTTTCAATAATGCATGCAGTAAATGAAGCACTCTTGTTCCCATCTTCTTACTTGAGGTTAGGAGGGCGCACGCGAGGAAACCTGAGAGGTGAATCCCAAGACACTCACTTGAGGTCCAGCGACTGGCATGTGGCAGAGTCAGGCTGCCCTGCAGGTCTTGCCCGTGCTCCTTCAACCAGCCCCCCTTGCATAGAAAACAAAAGCTGGATTTGCAACGTAGGCTCTTGCTGTTCTCTGATTCTACTGTATTTCCCATATTGCGGGCATCTGTGGCAGCACCCTGCAAGTGGGTGCTCGGTCTGTCTGGGGAAGAAGTCCTTTCTGCCTTGCTTCTAACCATACTTGGTTTTGTACAGGTCACCACAAATGGCATCATTGCCATGAGCGAACCCCTGGCCAAGGAATCCCATCCCGGGCTCTTCCCACCAGGCTTTGGTGTGGTCACACCTTTCCTGGTGGACTTGGACACGACCGATGGCCTCAGGAAGGTTTATTATCGAGAAGACTTATCTCCCTCCATCATGCAGCTGGCAGCAGAATGTGTCCAGAGAGGGTTCCCAGAGGTCTCGTTCCAACCCAGCAGCGTGGTGGTTGTCACTTGGGAATCTGTGGCTGCTTACCAAGGGCCTAACCAGGACCCTATCCAAGAAGGCAAGGTAAGCACCTGCCCAGGTACGAGCTCCAGTCATCTGACACATTGTGCTCTTTGTTCTTTTGGTTTGAAGTATCCTTATGCACCTTATGCCTGTGTTATTGATAAACATGAGACCCAAAGCAGAATCTAGCAGGCTGGCTATCGCAGGTCTAAAACTTCTAAAAGCTTTTTAGCAAGGCTGTAGAAATCTGCTTCAGTGATGATCAGACAGAGTGCAGGGACTATGCTACCGGCTTCTGCTGCAGCTGTGTTGCTGGCTACACAGGGGAATGGCAAGCAGTGTGTTGCAGAAGGTAATTTTCTTGTGTATGTTCGATCTGTAGACGTGGAGCCATTGATGTAGAGAGAGACAGAGATGTTCCATCCTCTGGTTCCCATCCCAGAAGGCTGTGGGTCAGGTGTATACCAGTCTCCCCTTGTGTTTCTCTTTCCTTGGGCCCCTGAAATTGGAGGATGGATGTGGTAGACCATACCAGACCTGTTGTGAGGCTAACTCTAAGATGGATTCGGCTGGACGCTGACATTAGTTTTAAACTCTGCCCTCAAAAGGACCACATCCTAGGTGGGCTTTGGCCTAGTGGTTAAGATGTTCCTGGGTATACCTGCCTCCCATCTCGGGTTCAAGTCCTGCCTCTACTTCTGATTCCAGCTTCCTGCTAATATAAACCCCAGGGAGACAGCAGGTGATGTCTCAAGTACTTGGGTTCCTGCCACCCACATGGGAGACCCAGATGGTGTTCCCAACTCCATCCTCAGCCTGCAGCATTTGAAGCAGCAAGGCACTAGATAGAAGGTAACTCTGTCTCTCACTCTCTCCCCTTCACCATCTCTCTCCCCATCTCCCTATCTCCTCTCTCCCTCTCTCTCCTCCTCTCTCTCTTTTCCTCTCTCCCTTCTCTCCCTCCTCTCCCCTCTCCTCCTCTCTCCCTCTTCCTCTCTCCCTCTTCCTCTCTGTCTCCCTCCCCTTCTCCCTCCCTCCACTTCCCTCCCCCATCCACTCTTCGCCTTTTCCTCCTCCCCCCTCTCCTCCCTCTCCCTCCTTTTCCTCCCTCTCCCCCTCTTCCTCCCTTCCCCCTCTCCTCGCTTTCCCCCCTTCCCCTTCTCCCCCTCCCTCTCCCTCCTCCTCCTCCCTCCCCCTCTCCCCCTCCTCCCACTTCCCCCCTCCTCCTCTCCCTCTGTCCCTCCCCTCCCCTCTGCTTCTGCCTTTCAAATAAAAAAAGATAATTGTGAAACACCAGATTTCATGTTCTCAGCAGGTCAGAAGAATCCTTTCTGTACAAGTATACAGGGCCTTGGTTACAGCTTCCTGTGGGAGGTCAGAACCACATACCAGAAGAAAAAACAAATGAAAAACCCCAAACCCCACTATATTGGACATTTGCCCCTTCATATGCAGAAAAGATGTCTGATGCATCACAAGTCACTTTTCCTGTGTGTTTAATGGGGGAACTTCCATTGCTTTGCAAAATGTAACTGAATAAAACTCCATTGGAGGAATGTTTCCTGATTTTGAGATTTCCCCTACCAGAGCTATAGTTAAGTCGTTATCATTTTAATTTGCTAAAAACAAAAACTTGTTTCCTTCTAGGTTACAATCAGATAAAGTGAGTATTTTTTAATACTTCCTTTTGTAATGAAAAAAAAATTTAGCATGCTTCTCATATCTGGGGGGATGTTTTCAACATGTTTAAAGTGTTTTCTGTTCCAAACCACATCACCCAGGGGAACAGTGTGCCTTTGCATCTTTGTTTGAGGCTTGGCTTTCTCTACTTCTCCCACCCTGTGCAAACCTTCCAGTATCCACAGCGAAATCTTCTTCTCAAGGAGCAACCTATTACCTCTTTGCACGCCAAATAAAAGAGCTCAAAAGCTGAATAGTTTGTGTTTGGTGGTTACCTCAGATGCAATAAACTGTTCAACCACATATTTGGCATTGTATCTATACCCTTTAATTGTTCTGTGGTTTAAATATTTGTTGGATTCTTGATATTTAAAATTTTTTTTCCTAGTTCAAGGTTTGGTGGAAAATTTTTGTTTGGTTTCCCGAACTTGGTGTTCCTGTTTGTTTCTGCAATGGTTCCCAGGATGCATATTTGTGCTATTAACTTGCTAACTTCACAGCATTCCCAAGTGTAATGACACAATGTGCACACAAGGTCTCTGGGTTGAATGTATCCTGGCCTGTCAGCAGCCCCATAAACAGGGCTAAGTTTCTAGAAGATGGCAAAAGGTCAGCAAGACCCGAGTGACCCTCAGGTACAAGCGATCTGTCTAGGGTTATTCAATAAAATTTTCCAAGAACTTACTAAGTGAGGGAGACTTCCAAGAATAAGTGAGGTAGCTGGGTATGAAAATTATGCTGCTAGCATATTTGTAATCTAGGAAGATAAATAAGATACATGATCATCAACAGAATTAAATTCTACAGCAAACCTAAACAATCCAAGGTAACCTTTGTTTTACTGCTTTCTTTGCCTTTCGCTTTTTTGAGATGTAATTCACTTACCTTAATTTTTTAAAAAAAATTTATTTGAGAGACAAACAGAGAGAAAGAACCATACATTTACACAAAATGCCCACAATGCCCACAATGGTTAGGGCTGAGCCAGACTGAAGCCAAGAGCTGGGAACTTAATCCAAGTCTCCCCCGTGGGTGGCAGGAACCCAATTGCTTGAACCATCACAGCTTTATCAGGAAGCAGTAGTCAAGAGCCAGAGTCAGACTCCGATATGGGAGGTGGCATCTTAACCAGTGTCGTGACTTTTTGAAGTATACAGTTAGGTGGGTTTTGATATATTCATCAGGTTATGTAACTACCACCTCCGAATCTCGATCATTTCATTTCATCACCCCAAAGGAAGCATTGTGCTCATTCGCAGTCACTCTTCATTCTCTCAAATTCCCCAGCCCCTACCAACTTCTCATCTACTCTCTGGCACTACCTCTTTTCCTGTTCTAGACATTTCATGTAAATGGAATCCTGCCACATGTAATCTTGTGCATCTGGTTTCTTTCACTTGGCATATTGTTTTCAGAATTCATCCATGTTTTAGCATGTGTCAGTATTTCATTCTTTCTTCTAATGGAATAATTTCCCTATGGGTGGATATTCCATATTTTTTTATCCATTCATCAGTTGATGAGTACTTGGGTTAATTCCCTTTTGAGATATTATGAATAATGCTGCTAAGAGCATACGTGTACAAGTTTTTGTGTGGCTTTATGTGTTCCATTCTCTTGGGTGTATTCCTTGGAATTAGAATGGCTGGGTCATACAACAAGAGCAACTTAATTTCTCTAGGTCTTATTTTCTCCTGATTAGACAATAATCAGTATATTAAATTATAAGTAAACATTATAGAGATGCATGTGACAGAAAAGGACCATTCACCGTATTGCCTTGTGTTATTGCAGTAAGCAGTTTTCCCCAGGTACCTGCCAACATTATGAGTGTAATTTTTAAGCATGAATCCTATATAGATATGCTATGTGTCAGTTTATTGAGAAAGCTTTTTAAAAGTTTTTATTTATTTATTTTCAGTTTATTTGAAAGGAAGAGAGAAACAGATCTTTGATCTGCTGTTTTACTCCCTGCAAGACAACAGCAGCTGGGTGGGGACCACATGAGAGCCAGAAACCCAGAACTGCCTCCAGGTCTCCCACGGGCACGGACCCAAGCTCTCAAGCTATCATCACCGCCTGCAGGGGTGCACATTAGCAGGAAGCTGGATCAGAAGCAGGGTAGCCGGGGCCCGAACAGGCACTCCAGTATGGGATGCAGGTCTCAAACGGTGGCTTAGCCTGCTGCACCACAACATGCCTGGTCCTTAAGAAAGCTTTTAGAGTTGCCATACTAGGTCTGGTTACATCGTTCCCAGCTGTCTAAGCAGAACAGTCAGTGACAGAGGCCTGCCTGTGGCCTGTGATGTCCTCCCAGTCTGTCCTGGCTTGCACAAGACATGGTTTTGGGACTCAGCCCATCAATCCCAGCCCTGGAGGGAGAGCTTTGTAGAGCACAAGGTGTGTCTGTCATGATCAGGGCCATCCAGTCAGCCCTGCTGTTGAACAAGATGCGTGCTTCTGTCCCCTTTACCCTTAACAGTGACCGATTCCACAGTCACTTGCATCCTAGATCCCTGGTGACGTGCTCTACTCCTCACTTCTCGCATGGCCCTGAAGTTCCAGTAGAGCCAGCTTTCGTGCCGTCTGTTACCAGGCACGTGGAAGAGTAGGAGTGCTGGGCTTTCCAAGGCTCGTGGCACACGGATCACGAGAACTCTCAGGAAGCACAGCTACTCCGGCTTGGCTCTCTCTCTCCATGTGTGGGTCCAGGTCCTACCAGACGTGTCACACTTCTTTGAAAGTGATCGCTGCCTGCTTTCGTTTGTGCCTCAGGCTCCCCTCAGCGAGTCAACGGGAAGGTGAAAGGGAGGATCTTCGTGGGGACCAGCCAGGTGCCCGTGGTCTTTGAGAACACCGACCTGCACTCTTACGTGGTGATGAACCACGGGCGCTCCTACACAGCCATCAGCACCATTCCCGAGACCGTGGGGTACTCTCTGCTCCCTCTGGCCCCCATCGGAGGCATCATTGGATGGATGTTTGCCGTGGAGCAGGACGGATTCAAGAATGGGTTCAGCATCACTGGTAATTTATATCCAACATTAAAATCACACTGGGGGAGGGGAGGGGCCTGAGAATAAAAGGAAGCAATCGCTTGTCTGCAAATGAATTACCGGTGCATCCTTATTGTCTAGAGAGACAGAATGGAAATATGAGCAGGTACAATTCACACTGATGTGTCATTGACATACACAAACTGAGGCTGCCTGAAATCGTGTTTTGGATCACGAAGTGATTTCACAGTTGAGATTTAGAAGAATCCAGCAAATCAAATCACTTCAGCTCATTCTCCCTCACAGCCCAGCGCGTAGGGCTTACAGCTCCCTCATTCCCTTTATGGAGCCCGCCTCCTGTTCTAAACACCTCTGAGATGGACACATGGCATCCTCAGCACCTGCTCAGGGAAGGGAACTAGAGTCTTAGGGACTTGGCATTGCCCGGGAGTTTCTTAGGGACGGTGCCCTGTCAAGGAAAACTCAGTCTTCCAGAGACATGTGGGCAGGTCCCATGGGGGGCATTCCCTTGGCTGTGCCTGGGCCAGGCCCCTTGTACTCGCTGGGGCCATTCCTGGGAACAGCTGGAGTGGAGGAGCCTGCATCTTGCATCTGTGAATACATATTTGAAAGAGGCCGAATCTGCCTGTAGGAATCACTCATTTAGGGCCCCATGTTTTCTCTCCCTATTCCTCGGGTGTGTGTGTTCTGAGTGTTATAGCCCTATCCGCACTCTCAGGTGAGCAGGATGCTCTTTCCTTTGCTGCAGGCCCACTCACAGCCCAGCTTCTTCCCTGCAGGGCTTTGCACACTGCTGTTGCCTTGACTGTGGCCTAACTTCTCTTGGTGACGCTTGGTGACGCTTGGTGACGTGTGTCAGCTTCAGCAGGTCCCAGGGAGAGGAAGCCTTCACACAGGCCCTGCAGCAGCAAATCTTGGTGAATGACGCTGATCCTTCTAAATTCCCCCAGGACCTGCGGTCCCAGCTGGCTGTCTGCATGGGACTTGGGTGACTCTAAGCAGGGCCAGACAGTAAATATTTTAAGCTTTTTCTAAATATTTTAGGCCACATGATCTCTGTTACAACCACTCAACCCTGTCCTAGTACAGAGAAAGTCACCATAGATCCTATTTAAATGAAGAAATGTGGCTGTGTTCTGATAAAACTTTATTAATGAACACTGACATTTAAATTTTGTAGGATTTTTAATGTCACAAAACAAAATAATTCTTTGAAATTTTTTTTAAACTGGAAAATAAAGGACTCTTTAAATTGAGAGGGAATACTGAAACAGGCAGTTGGCCAGGATTAGCCCTGGGACCATAGTTTGCCAGCCCCTGCTGTAAAGGGAGTATACCATTGTGGGAGAGAGAAGATGGAAAGGTGGTGGAGGGGGGATATTTGTATTTTTTCTTGTGTGTCTGTGACTGCTGTGTCATCCAGACTGAGGGAAGTTCCTGAACCCACAAAACACATGGGATCCTATGGTGGTTTCTGGAAATGGTGTTGGTTTGCCCTGAGCAACTTGTCCATTCTGACCAGGACTTACCTATTTCGATAATTATCACTGCACTGTATCTGTGGAGCACTCCACGCACATTTGAGCATACTTTGTCTCTAATTTCCACAAGATAGATTGTGTCCCTTTTTAATCACCAGCAAACAGAGGCTCAGAGGGGTTCAGCAATTTATTCAAGATCACTCAGCCAGGATCTAGCAAAGCTCCAGTCCAGCCTGGGTCCCCTGCTGTTTCCCACATGACCCCTGAGCCCCCATCTCAGATGCTGGTTTGTGGCTGGGAAGCAGTTCCTCTCCTCTGTGCCTGGCTCAGTTGGGCTGCGTGGATGTCCTCAGTGTCAGCAACCCCGTGATCCATTGGCCAAACTGAAGCCTCCTCCAAGGAGGTCCCTGCATATTCCTGTCTTGGCAGCACCACCCTGTGAGCTGAGGGCCGGAAGGAGGGCGTGCTCACGCCACAGCCGAGTGACAGGGCCGATCTTGTTTTCCAGGGGGCGAGTTCACGCGCCGGGCGGCGGTGACCTTCGTGGGGTACCCAGGCAAGCTGGTCATTAAGCAGCAGTTCAGCGGCATCGACGAGCATGGACACCTGACCATCGACACAGAGCTGGAGGGCCGCGTGCCACAGATCCCATTCGGCTCCTCCGTGCACATTGAGCCCTACACTGAGCTCTACCACTACTCCAGCTCAGGTGAGCCCCAGGGCCACCCTCAGGGAGCAGCACTGCAGCCTCATAGGGCTGGAGCACTCTCCAGGGTTTGTAGAGGGAAATGCACTGGACCTCACCGAGTTGCAATCATTTGCCCCCTAATTATAGACATAGCAGACGCTTGTTGTAGAGAACTTAGTGTGAAAAAGAAAGTAAGTGTAATTCAGAGCTGTAAAACCTGGGTGGAAATAATAGTTAATTGCATTTAAGTGTCTTTCCTTTCAGCCTTTTATGAGCAAAAACACACCTCAGTCTGCATCAAGCATCCCAACACATTCTATCAATTAAAGATAAAATAATATTACTACAATACGTACCTATATGTAGTTTCTACAAACTGTATTTATTCTCAATTTGGTATTGGTTTCAAATAATTTCAAGCTTCCAGAACAGTTGAAAACAGCCTAGCTGTCTACTAAGCTCCACTAATTCACATTTTGTCACATTTACTTTGTCAATTCTCACCCTATATATATATTCTCCTCCATACGGTCATTTGAAAATCCTTGCTACATTGGCACTCACGGCTGTGACACCAACGCTGCCTGTCACCCTGGCCCTGGGACGCAATTCACCTGCAAGTGCTCCATTGGCTTCCGAGGAGATGGGCTAACTTGTTATGGCATCGTTTGGTTCTGGCTCATGGGGGAGCTGGGAAGGTGGGCAGGGAGGAACCATCCAGATTCTATAAACCAGAGTGCTGGGGCGAGGAAGTGTGGTTGGGGTAAGTACAGCTAGGAGTGCCATGCCTGGATTGTTTGCGACCGGCACTCACTGTTTCCTCTGTAAAATTAGGGCATTGTCCCTGTCTTTCCTCTGATTTAATGCATCAGTGCTAAGCAGCAGAATAGAATTTCCACATACTTCACTCCATTGGAACTGTGATTTATCCAAGTACTCTTTGTGGTAAGTACTTCACAAATACCATCTCATCTAATTTTGCAATGAATCTATTGCTATAGATTCATTTGCTCCCTTTTTTTTCAAAAATATGTTTAATTTTGGTCAAATGCACATAACAGAATTTGCCATCTCACCCACTTTAAAGTGTGCAGTTCAGTGGTGCTACATACTTTCACTTTGTAGTGCAACCATCATCATCTTCCATCTCTAGCACTCTTTTCATCTGGGAAAATAGACTCTACCCATTCAACCATAACTCATGCTTCCCTCCCTCAACCCCTGGAAACCATCATTCTACTACCTATAGCTATGAATTTGGTCATCCTACATTACATAACCTTCAGCATTTGTCTCTTTGTGTCTGGCTTGTTTCATGTAACATAATGTTGTCAAGTTCCCCCCCCCCACCGTATTTTTGTGTGTCTTGGAATTTTCTTTGCTTTGTGAGGTTGAATGATATTCCATTATATGTATTTGCTACATTTTGTTCATCCATCCATCCATCAATGGCCATGTGGATGGTTTCCATCTTTTGACTGTTGCAAATATTACTGTTAGAAACGTGGGCATGCAAATATCTGTTAAAGTGTCTACTTTCAGTTCTTTTAATATTTACCCAGAAGTGGGGTTCCTGGATCAAAGGGTTTAATTTCTTTTGTGGAACCACCATATTGTTTTCCAGACTACACCATATTATATTCCCACCACAGTGCACAAGGGTTCTAATTTCTCCATAACCTTGGCATCTCTTGTTATTTTCTTTTTTTAAAGGAAGATTTATTTATTTATCTGAAAGAGTAAAAGAGAGAGGAAAAGACACAGATCGAGATCTTCCATGCACTGGTTTACTCCCCAGCTAGCCACAACAGCCAGGTCTGGGCTAGGCCAAAGCCAAGATCCAGGAACTCCATCCTGGTCTCCCACATGGGTGGAGGGCCCAAGCACTTGGGCCATCTTCTGCTTCCTTCCCACGCGCATTATCAGAGAGCTGGATAGGAAGCAGAACAGCCAGGACCCCAGCCGGCTCTCTGATATGGGCTGCCGGCATCCATCAGAAGCAGCAGCTTCATCTGCTGCACCAGAACCCCAGCCCCGCTTGCTAGTTTCTGGTTTTGGTTTTTGTTTTCATCTTACGGTGGCCACCCTAAGAGAAGTAAGGTTGACTGCTCTTTTTACATATGGGAAAACTGAGGCTCATTAAAGTGAACCACTGAGTTACGTTTAAACTGAAGGCTCTGTTTGAAGCCCTGATATTACTCTGCTTTCTTCCTGCATTTATTTTTTATAATTTAATTTCAGATATTCTATGGAGATGGGTTTCTCCTCTGCTCATTATTACATTTTAATCCACTACCAAAGGGCAGTTAGTCCATTGCCAAGGGTGAGGATGTGAAGGCCTTCCTTCAACCAGCACTACCTTATCTGCAACAAAGGGCTCGCTAATGAGCATTAGGAATGCTAGAAGTGGGTGACCCTGCTGGAATGAGGAGTGAACCCACATGTTGTTGGTCGGAACGATGGATGGCTCTCTACACCCTTGCTTGAGTAAAGTGAAAGAACCTGGCAGACCCAGTAGCCTCAGAATTGGGGCATAATGTCCTGGTCTGCAATCCATCACTCCCAACTAATGGTGCATTTGAAGTGCTGATTGAACATGAAAGGTCCTGACAGATCCTGCTGTCATGGAATCATGCTGTCGCATAAGATGCTTACTGGGTTGCCTGAAATGTTGGAGGGTGGGGACTTGTGCTTACAGACAAAGGTTGTGTGCTTATTGACCAGGTTGCTGATAACTTTGTGCATGTGGTAGGAATTAACCTGAGGCTCAGGGAAGAGACATTGTCCCTACTCACCTGTATCATCAGCTTCCCAGTATTTCTCCAGAGAGCCAGACAGTCTTCAATGGCTGAAGTGACTCAGACCAGTTTGGAGCAGCTTGACACAGTGTGTGTGTGTGTGTGTGTGTGTGTGTGTGTACACAAGTGGAACCTGCCCAGGCTGTGAAGATGGTGACAGACATCATTCTGGAGAGGGGCTGCTTCACTTAGACTTATCACCCCTGCTTCAACTTGATGGGCCACCTGAATACTGATAAAGTATGGAGATGCCCCAACCTGCCCCTGTTGAAACATGCCCTTTGGACTGATTCTGCTTTGGTCTCTGAGCATGCCAGTGTGAGAGTACTTCATAGAGGGAGTGCTTCATTTCAGAAAGCACAACTGGCCAGGCTTTTGGGTAATCTGTTGTTGTCGTGGAAAATCCCTGGATGTCCTTTCCCAGGCACACAGGTGGTCGCATGTGGACTTGCTTTTGTCCTGGGGTTAGTGACTGTTCTGGCGTGTTAGCTCTGTGGAATGTGTGGATGTCCCAGTCAGCCTACTCATTGTTCTTGGCCACTGGTACGTGCCTCAAAGTGTTAATGCATTGAGACATGAGGCTTTTAATAGGAAGTTGCATTAAGCAGACCACTTCATGTGTTTTTTGGACTGGGAAAGTATCTTATAGGAGAATGAGGATGAGTCTTTTTTAATCATTGTGTGTAGCACTGCTATAAGAACATATGGCATCCAAGACAGGGATAGCTTTGGATAGACATCTTCCGGAGAATCCCCAGGGTAGTTTGGAGCCGATGCTGAGTCGAGTCCCAGAGCTCTCTGACTCACTCTGTGGTACATGGTGGAATGGTTCCCATAGAACTGACAGCTTGGAGTCTCTAGAGATGGTTTTGGTTAATTGAATCATTTCATTGAATAATTTTCCAGTTTGTAGAAGGCATTTAATGAGTCAATGATGAGAAGATCTTGGCCTTTGCATAAGGAGACAAATTGCAGGACTTAACAGTCATTGAAAATATGTGCAAAGTAGCCACTCTAGAAATAATAAAAAGGGAAGCAGTACTTAATTACAAGAATACTCGAGGGTTTTCCAGCTGAATTAGGGAGTGATTATGTGAAAGGAAAACTTTCTAGAGAAGTTGACCAGATGCTGGACAATAGGAATACTCATCCTCAAGCAGATACTGTAGTATATTGTAAGAAAGTTATCACTGGTCCACTAAAGAAAAGGTTAAGGTCTTGGCCCCCATTTCTAGGAGAGAAGAGTTAAATCACACATGAGGAAGAATTTCCAAACTGCAAATACTGTGTGATACGAGTGGGGAGTTTCTAGGGTCTTGTTCCTAAAGAATGGTGTCAACCATGAGGCGGGTGTTTGGCCTGGCAGGTAAGTTGCTGGTTGAGTGCCCACATCCCATATCAGGGTGTCTGGGTTCTGATTCCGGCTCTGGCTCCTGACTCCAGCCTCCCGCTAATGCAGACCCTGGGGTGTGGTGGTGATGGTCTGGTGCTCCGAGTAATTGAGTTCCTGTCACCCACATTGGACATCTGGATTGAGTTTCTGGATCCTGGCTTCAACCTCATGCAGCCCTATGTGGGCATTTGGGAAGTTAGCCAATGGATGGGTGCTCTGTCTTCCTATTGAATAAATAACAATTTTCAAAAAGGGTATCTGCCAGGATAACTTCTGTGCATTGGCCTTCATGGAGGTGGAGGTGGTGCTCAGGAGCCATGCACTCCCTCATCCTGTTGACCTTGAGCTCTGACTCACCCATGGTTGTTGATGTCAGACTTAAGAGCCCTATCACCTTAGAAGCTTTCTTGTAACCCTTGACTTGTCTTTCTGTCCAAGTCCCCAGGGCATAGTGGAGCTTAGACGTGTTTCCCTGGTGATGGTACTCTGTTCCTGATGGTAATCCTGCTGCTCTGAGCTTTTGGTTCTGGCAGTTGTGTCTAGGCCACCAAGCCCTGCAGTCTGTGCAACGTGTGTAGCCATCTGTGTGGGGACATCCTCTGAAGAGTTGCAGTGCAGAGACAGCGGGCACAGGAATGATCTTTCTTCTGTGTTGTTGCTGTTCGTAGCTGTCAGATGGAGCTGGAAAGTCCACACTTGGTGGACAATCCCCTCATTCCCACCCTCATCTCTAGCTTGTGCCTGAGGCTGCTCTGTAAGGGCCAATAACTCAGATAACATTCAGAAATCCCATTGGTCTTTAAGTGGGGCAACTTATGTTGGTGACTGTAGTTAGAGAAAGGTAATATTTTCAAACAATCGCATATTTAAATATGCTCTCAAGTTTAGAAACCTTATTCAATGTCCAGACACCATCTCCGTGTCCTTCCCACACGGTTTGCCACACTGATGAGTGACTCATTTTCCTGGACCCCAGCCTCAGCAGCGACCTCCAGGAGAGGAAGGGGAAAAAGCCACCTTTACTCAGAAAAAGGGCCTGGGGTTCACTCCCTAATGTGGGGCCTGTGCACACACGTGCGTGTGCACACACACAGGCACAAGCACACACACATCTTTGTTTCCACTTCCTTTTGGACTGCAAAAATTTGTCTGAATATTGATCTATTGGAGCCATGGTGTAGTGGGTAAAACTGCTGCCTGTAGCACCAGCATCCCTGTTGGGCCTCAGTTCGAGTCCTGGCTGCTCCACTTGCAATCCAGCACCCTGCTAACATGCTTGGGAAAGCATTGGAGATGGCCCAAGTGCTTGGGCCGCAGCACCCACATGGGAGACCTGGAAGAAGCTCTGGACTCCTGGCTTCAGCCTGGCCAAGCCCTGGCCTTTGCGGTCATTTGGGGAAGAACCAGCAAATGGAAGACCTCTTTCTCTGCCTCTACCTTCCTCTGTAACTCTGCTTGTCAAATAAAAATAAAAATAAAAATAAATCTTTAAAAAATTAATCTATCTCAGGATTTTTTTTTTTTTATTATTTGAGAGGTAGAGTTATAGACAGTATGAGAGATAGACACAGAGAAAAAGATCTTCCTTTCATTGGTTCACCCCCAAATGGCTGCTATGGCCAGCGCTGCACTGATCTGAAGCCAGGAGCCAGGAGCTTCCTCCTGGTCTCCCATGCGGGTGCAGGGCCCAAGCACTTGGGCCATCCTCCACTGCACTCCCGGGCCACAGCAGAATGCTGGACTGGAAGAGGAGCAGCCGGGACTAGAACCCAGAGTTCATATGGGATGCCGTTGCCCCAGGCGGAGGATTAACCAAGTGAGCCACGGCACCAGCCCCTGAAGAAGATTTTTTAAAAAGCTTGCATTTGAAGAATTTTTTTCTTTTCTGCAGATATTGATGAATGCGTAGAGCAGCCATCAGTGTGTGGCAGCCACGCTCTCTGCAACAACCACCCAGGCACCTTCCGCTGCGAGTGTGTGGAGGGCTACCAGTTTTCCGACCAGGGAACGTGTGTGGGTAAGTTCCCCAAGTAACTGTCAAAACATCTGTTCCTGTGCAGGAGGTCACCCCCTAGGAAATAAAAGTTGTCCCAGGTGATGATCCTGCCTGAGACACAAGGGTACCAATGTGCCATCAAGAAGGGCAACTCACAAAGACGAATCAGACTGAGCCCCGCCCTCAACAACCTGGGGAGCCACAGCTACCAGCAGTAGGCGGGGTCGTCTAGACCAGGAGCCCCATCAGCCCACCTGCTACAAGCTTTTGTCTTATCCTTGTTTCTTTTTAAAAAAAAAAAACATTTATTTACTTACAAGTCAGAGTTGCAGAGAGAGACAGAGAGAGAGAGAGAGAGAGAGAGAGAGAGAGAGATCTTGTATATACTGTTTCACTCCCCACATGATCACAACACCCGGGACTGGGCCATACCAAAGCCAGACCTACGTACCTAGGCCATCTTCCAGGGCCTCCCCGGGTGCATTACAGGGCAGCTAGATGAGAAGAGGAGTAACCAGGGCTTGAACTGAGCTCTGATATGGGATGCTGGGCATTGCAGGTGGTGGCTTAACCTGCTGAGCCACAGCACCAGCCCTAACCTTCTTTCTTACAAACTTCTTGTGACTATTTCAGTATCCTTTCAGTCACTATCGCGGTTAGAGGTTTCTTCTTGTTATTCACAGCCTTGGGATTCATGTCGAGGGACCATCTTCTAGGCACTTTTGTTACCACCTGTCATAGAGTGAATTGTACCTGAGTTACATGCAGAATTCCATTTGAGACCATTGTATGTATGGATTTTGATTTTACAAGCATAACTCCTTAGCCTTCTTGAAGTAATTGGATGCTATTCATTTGGCTGATGGTGCTTTTGGCCAGTGATGATTTGGGAGACGGTGCTGCTCATAGGCCAACCGCAGGAGCCAGGTTGTTTATATTTTTTTCTCTTTTTTTTTCCAGCTTTGCTTTGCCTTGTTGGTTCTAAGAATTTTCAGTTCCAAGATTCTCAGAGATTTCCAGGTCTGGAGGGCCATGTGCTGAGTGGGTGTCTGCACTCCACATGCCTTCCCGATTGAAACCAGATTCCTCCTGTGCTGTGTCAGCAGGCATCTCCTGCCCCTTCTTGCTGCTTGCTGCACTCAGGAAACTTGCTCTTTGCTCTGTCTTAAAACCCAGGGGCCGAGGGGGCCGAGGTCCCAGGATGTGGCAGTGTCTCCAGGGCGGGAGGGAACAGGCCGTTCTCATACTTGGACTGTGACCCAAACATCTGTGCTCTCAGGGGGCCAGCTCCCTGTACACAGAGTTGAGACTCCAGCTCTGTTGAAGTGACTTTCCTGTTTTGGGCTCCTTTTCTGTGTATTTGGCCTCACTTCCTTCCCTGCTTCTTGAGGTGAAGGAGATTCCAGAGCTTACTTTTAACGGCAGCACTTACATCCCGTCTGGCTCAGCCTCGGTCGGCAGGCTCTTTGCTGCTGGAGCGGTGACGTGCATGGTCACAGAGATCCTGGGACAGGTGGGTGGGAGGCAGGTGACCTGGGGTTTTTGAGGTTGTGTCTCCGTCACGGGGGAGCTGCTTTGCGGACTGCCATACTTTGGCATTTTCCATAAACCTGGGACTTCTCTTTTCCTGCAAAGCATGTTTTTGTGGAGGGAAGACAGGCTTCAGCTTGCCCATAAGTCCCTGTAACGTGAAGGCACAGATGCCTCCGAGTGGGCCCGGCCCTGATCCTGGCCTGATGTATGGGGCATGGTCCAACTTCGAATTTCACTTACCCGTCACTTGGGTGTCTTTGTGCAGTGTGCAACACTGTGCCCCAGCCCTTACGTCATGGCGAGAAGAGGGCCGGGCTTAAGCAAAAGGTTGTGGTACACACTGTGCCGGGCTTTGCCTCCCCAGTGCTCTGCTCTCCCTCCTCTGTGGGTCAGGAAAAGCCATGGAAAGCATTCAGTGCGGGCCTAGTTTTAGAATTTCGGGTACCCAGAGGCTGTGTGAAAGCGCTTGAACTCCTGTGCCCTGCCCTTTTCTTCTCCTCGTGAGTAACTTCCTTGCCTCGATTTGTCTTTCTTCCTCATGAAGCCTCCTTCCTTGGCTTCTGCTGCCTCATTTCCCAGCCCCCACCTGCCCGCGTGGGTCTCCCAGGGACCGTGTCAGGGGGACAGTAGCATCTCCAGGCTGGCCAACCCTTGTCTGATCATTCCAGGTCAGGGCATGGTTCTTTTCCAGGGTTCAGAAATGAAGGAACCAGGAAAGCAAAACCCCAACTGACCATCTTTTGATTCCTGGCTTTGTCTCTTCTCTAAGACTTCCCCCTCATTCATCCTGCAGTGCCCGTTAGTTGAATGGGGAGGGTCAGATTTGCAGGGAGCCTGCAGGTTAGGAGCCTCAAGGGAAGTGGAGCTGCACATGTTGTCCTTGTGTATTAGGTCCCCTGGAGTTTGCTAGAGCAGCAGCTTCTCTTTTGTGCTGATGAATCAAGGACTGTGCTGGTTCCTCGGCTCCTTTCTGGATAGCCATTCTTCAGCAGCATCAGCCGGACTCTGTTTCTGTGAGAACTGGAGAACAGCTACCGGGGCTGTGGAAAAGGCCATGGCTACAGCTAGCCCTTTGGAAATGCTGTCCTTTCCAGTGCTGGGAAAACATCAGCTTATGAATGTGGGGAGCAACTCAGACTAGACTGTTACTGGAATTAAGACTTATTCTATGCATCTGCTCTCCCACAATATGGCGCTGGGAGAAGGGAGTAAACAGCTTCTACACAGCTGCCTTTCACCAACTTGACAAGCTGTAGGACCTGCTCCTGATTGGAGGAGAGCAGCGTACTCGGCGTGTGGGTAGCAGAGTTGGGATTGGTGGAAGAGGACTATAAAGGAGGAGAGAGACAATATGCACCAGGAACACCTGAGGAACATCTAAGAGGAACACCTGAGCAGCCCCCGAGAGAGCCGGCCGGCGGTGTGCCGCTCCCCCGCGGAAGTGGGGAAAGTGGCAGGGGGAACAGCCCTTCCACAGAGGTGGAAGGGTCGGTAGCCAACCCGGGAAGAACCAGCAGCAAACCCGGGGAGGGCCAAGCAGACGAAAGAACAGCGCAGGGTCCTGTGTCGTTCCTCCACGAAGAGGGGGAGCGACATAATGGTGCCGTGACTCGGATATGAAGCCTAGGCAGGGTTTAGTGTCGTTCCTCCATGAAGAGGGTGAGCGACATATGAATGCTTTGTCTGTTTTTCTTTTTAAAGGTTTATTTATTTGGAAGGGAGAGTTACAAGGAGATAGAGAGAAAGAAAGAGAGAGGGAGAGGGAGGGAGAGAGAGAGAGAGAGAGAGATGTTACATCCATTGGTTCATTTCTCAAATGACCACAAAGCCCAGAGCTGGGCCAGGCCGAAGTCAGGAGCCAGGAACTTCTTCCAGGTCTTCCACGTTGGTTCAGGGGACCAAGCTAGACTTGGGCCATCTTCTTGCTTTCCCAAGCCATTACCAGGGAGCTGGATCAGAAGTAGAGCAGCTGGGATATAAACCAGCACCTATATGGGATGCTACAGTTTAACCTGCTATGCCATAAGGCCTGCCCTTGATTTATTTAGTTTAAAAATGAAAGATGTAGGGCCCAGTGCCATGGCTCACTAGGGTATTCCTCTGCCTGTGGTGCCAGCATCCCATATGAGCACTGGATTCTAGTCCCGGCTGCTCCTCTTCCAGTCCAGCTCTCTGCTGTGGCCCAGGAGGGCAGTGGAGGATGGCCCAAGTGCTTAGGCCCTGCACCTGTGTGGGAGACCAGGAAGAGGCACCTGGCTCCTGGCTTCGGATTGGCGTAGCTCCAGCCATAGCAGCCATTTGGGGAGTGAGCCAAAGGAAGGAAGACCTTTCTGTCTCTCTCTCTCTCTCACTGTCTAACTCTGTCAAATAAATAAAAAAAAAAAATGAAAGAAGTAGAGCCACTTTTTATAGTGTGGCATAGTTGACTTTTGAAATTTCTGTAGGAAGAAAATCACTTTGGCACAAAAAATTATATCTTACATGAAAGTTGATGTGACTTTTAAAAATTACATCATAAACTGCCTTTTTCTGTAAATGATTTGAGGGTTCCAAAAAGCCATGTATGATGGTGCCAGCCAAACAGGCAAAGGGCAGGCCTGTGTGCCTCACAGCAAGGTGAGGCTCCCAGGCTGCACAGTTGGTGCCATGGGACCTGATGCACCGAGAGCCATACGCATGGTCTATGGAAAAGGTGGAATGAGATTCATTCATGGTTGTGATGGTCATGGTAGGACCGTATTCGTCCTATGGTTTCTTTTTGGGGGCTGCAATTCTTTGATAGCCTTCCCTGTCATGTGTTGGTAGCTAGAGGGTCCAGGGAAAGAGGACCCTTGAGAAAAGCACAGAAGTGATGGGTGGGAGCGGGCATTTGGTGCAGGTTAAGCCAGCACTTGGGACACCTGCATCTCCTGGGTTTGATCTGGGGTTAAGTCCCAGCTCTGCTTCCTATTCCAGCTTCCTGCTGAGGTGCACCCTGGAAGGCAGTGGGTGATAGCTCAAGTACTTAGATCCCTGCCCCCACCCAGAAGACCAGATGGAGTTCTAAGCTCCTGGCTTCAGCCTATCCCAACCCTGGATATTGTGGGCATTTGGGGAATAAACCAGCGGATGGGAGATAATTTGTCTTTTTTTTTTTTAAATAAAAGATGAAAAAATATTTTTTACTGTTTTGAAAATTCTTTTTCAATGAGCTGTAAGTCACTCTTCCCCCATCAAAAGCAAGTTCACATAGATTTGAGCTTAAATCCACTTAAATTCTTGTGCAAACTACAAATTCTGAGAGTCTCATCGTCCCGGGCCCGGTGGCTGTTTTACAGATGTGGATGAATGCCAGCCGAGCCGATGCCACCCTGACGCCTTCTGCTACAACACCCCAGGATCCTTCACGTGCCAGTGCAAACCTGGCTACCAGGGAGACGGCTTCCGTTGTATACCTGGAGGTACGGTGATGGGGTATGTGGCATTGCTGGCTCATTGCTGTCTCTGTGAGTACCAAGTACAAGGCTCTGGGAGAGAAGGGGAGGTGCAGAGTAGCTGTTTGCACAGAGTGTCTAAGGTTCAAGAGGTGAATCCTCTGGTTTCTCTTCAGATTGTATAAATCTTTTGCCTTTTACTAAAGGATGTAGAGGTGAACGATCAGAGAATGGGCTGGTGCTGCCCACATGGGCCCTACATGTGCTGGCAGCCTGGGGGCTGATCATCCATATAACTTGAGCCAGCAGTGCAGGGTAAGACCTGGGCTGTGTGTCAGGTTCCCCAGAGAGACAGAACCATGAGGTTCTGTCACACATGAAGACACATATCGCATATACATACATGTGTGTACATATGATACATATACGTGTGTACATATGATATGTGTGTATATATGTGAACATAAAAAGATTCATGGTAAGATTGACTCATATGACTATGGGGGCTAAAAGTTCCTATTCTGCATTCAGCAAGCAGAAGACCCAAGCCACTGATAGTTTCATGGAGACCTCAGAACCAGGAGAGCTAATGGTGTAGTCCAGTCTGAGGCTGGCAGGCTTGAAAATAGGGAAAAGCTGATGTTTAAGAAAAAGGGAGAGCCGGCACTGCAGCTCACTAGGCGAATCCTCCACCTGCGGCACTGGCACCCTGGGTTCTAGTCCAAGTTGGGGCACTGGGTTCTAGTCCTGGATGCTCCTCTTCCAGTCCAGCTCTCTGCTGTGGCCCTGGAGGGCAGTGGAGGATGGCCCAAGTGCTTTGGCCCTGTACCTGCATGGGAGACCAGGAGGAAGCACCTGGCTCCTGCCTTTGGATTGGCACAGCGCCAGCCATAGCAGCCATTTTTGGGGGTGAACCAACAAAAGGAAGACCTTTAACTCTCCCTCTCCAACTCTGCCTGTCCAAAAAAAAAGTGTGGGGGGGATAATGGAGGATGGTCTAGAGGTTGTCAGGAGGAATCCTGCCTTTTACTCAGGGCAAGATCAGTGTTTTTGTTCTGCTTGGGCCTTCCACTGGTTGGATGAGGCCCACCACACAAGGAAGGCCCACCACATGAGGTAGGCCCATGGCACAAGGGAGGCCCATCTGCTCAACTGAGTCTGTCAAGTAAAATGTTCATCTCATCCCAGACACCCTCGGAGAAGCACCTAGAAGAACAGTTGGCCAAACAGCTGGGACCCTTGTAGCCCGCTCAAGTTGACACATAGCCAGCACAGGTTCCTTTGTGTCCGGGGCGTGTGGGGTGTGGGGTGTGGGGTGTGGGGTGTGGGGATGTAGGCTGAGGCCTCCATAGGATGGTCTGCATTGAACTGTGTGGCTTCTCGGGTTGCTGCTGCTCTGAGACCCGAGCAGCATCTTGTTAGAGCGTGAGGATCATGAGAGCTCCAGTCCACTACCTGGCCTGAGTCGGGGAACTCGGGAAGCACCCAGCCAGTGCTGTGGGATCAATGCACACCCCCAGCTGCCCTTTGTGAGGCTCCTGCTGTGTGCTCCTGACAGATGCTGTTTCACATAATGCTCATAGCTGTCTTTTGAAGTAAGTACAATTACTCTCTCAAATCACAGAGGATGCTGAAATGGAAAAAGAGAAAGGTGTAACCAAGGTCACCCAGAGAGTCGCTGCCAGAACTGAGATTGAAATCCAGCCTGCTGGATTGAGTCCAAATCCACATTCAGACTTCTCAACCACACACAGTGTTCTGACATGAGATTGCAGATGTACCTGACACATCAGACTGGAGTTTGCCTGTTGTATTTATTTTTAATGACTGCTACTGTGCTGGTCAGATACATTCATGCCACTAAAAATGTTTTCAGTAAGAGATAAGTGGGATTTTCATCTCCCCACATTCTAAAGTGGTTAATTATTGCTTAGATGTCCATCCATATCACTGGTCTGTGATGGAGTCTGTGGCCGTGGTGGGGCTCACAGCTGTTAATAGTTGTTGAAGAAATAAGTGAGCACACCTGTTTCCATTCCCACCAACAGTTCATGGAAGTATTTATTTATCCACATTGTCCCTAGGTCTAGTTTTTAGGAGAAAATATCAGATTCAAGTCTAAACTTTGATATATCACACTGCATGTTGCTGATCTGCTTTGAACAAGAGTCAGCAAACTGCAGACCCTGAGCCAAATCTGGCCCATGGTTTGTTTTTGTAAATAAAGTTTTATTGGAACACAGCCATCTGTATAATGTATGGCTGCTTTCTTGTTACGGAGGCAGGGTTCGGCGCTTGTCCCAGAGAATATGAAGCCTGCAAAGCTTACAAAGTCTGCATAGCCTCCTGACTGGTTCCTGACAGAAATGTGCTGACTCCTTGGCTTAGAGGGGCCAGATGAGGCCAGCCTTTTTGATCCTGAAACTATGGGTCATGACCGCGGTGCTGTTCATAGATTTTGATAGGCAGATTCCATAAAGACCAGTTTGTGATCATTTGAGTCAAGGCATGCCAGCATTAAAAATGACTAGCATTCATTATTTCCTTAGGCTTGCTTCACATCTCCAGTTCAAAGGGAAGCAGATGTTTCATTTTCTGAGTTTTGTTTTTTTTTTTACCCTGACTCCTTGTCCCCTTGTTAAGGCTCTGTTGACTAAACAGAAACAAATCCAGACCTGTAGACTGGGTTATAAAGATGGGCCAAGGATAAATCCAATGAGAGCTGTTTGCCAGAATTGTTTATGTATTTGATCGCGTCCCTTAAGAAATTCCTCATCTAGTTATAAACTCAAGAAATGCCTATGAATGCTCACTGAGTGCTGTTCACGATAGCAGAAAGTCTCAATGGCTGTCAGCAGGAGGAGTGCACAGAGGACTTAGGGCAGAATCCATGCCATGAAACAGCATCCAGCAGCTAGAACAAATGAACTCGAGTTAATGGATAAAACTCAAAACCATATGTTGTTGGGGGCAGGGGCTACAAAAAGATCTGTACAGTATGATTCCATGTGTAGAAAGTACAAACTGGACCAAACAGAGCTCTCAGGCCACACCCATCTCAAGCCCTAAGGCTCCATCAAAAACAGATAGTCCACTTAATCTAGAGTCATAGTATAACAAGAAAAAGCACCACAGTGAAGAAACCAAATATCTCCAATATGACAAATCACAAACGCAAAAACCAAGGTAATAAAAACAAGGAAGTCACCATGAAGCCCTCAACTGAAAAAGACACCCCAATTCAAGATTATGAGGATGATGACATAGAAGAAATGCAAGAAGCAGATCTCAAAAAATTGATAAGAACATTAAGAAGTTCTCAAAAACAAATTCTTGAACTACAGAAATCCTTAATGGACAAGATAGAAAATCTCTCTCGTGAAAATGAAATATTAAGGAGGAATCAAAATGAAACAAAACAACTAGTACAACAGGAAACTGGGATAGTGACTGAAGTGAAGAATTCAATAGATCAAATGAAAAACACAATAGAGAGCCTTACAAACAGAATGGGAGAAGCAGAAGAGAGAATATCGGACTTAGAAGACAGAGAACAGGAAAGGATACAGTCAGACCAAAGAAAAGAAGAGGAAATTAGGAATCTAAAACATATTGTCGGGAATCTTCAGGATACTATTAAAAAACCCAACATTCGGGTTCTAGGAGTTCCTGAAGGCATGGAGAGGGAGAAAGGATTAGAAGGCCTTTTTAGTGAGATATTAGCAGAAAATTTCCCAGGTTTGGAGAAGGACAGAGAAATCCTAGTACAGGAAGCTCACAGAACCCCTAATAAACACGACCAAAAGAGACCCTCACCACGACACATTGTAATTAAACTCTCCACAGTGAAACATAAAGAAAAGATCCTAAAATGTGCAAGAGAGAAACGTCAGATTACTCTCAGAGGATCTCCAATCAGACTCACAGCTGACTTCTCATCAGAAACTCTACAAGCTAGGAGGGAATGGCAAGATATAGCCCAGGTACTAAGAGAGAACAACTGCCAGCCCAGAATATTATATCCTGCAAAGCTATCATTTGTGAATGAAGGTGAAATAAAGACTTTTCATAACAAACAGAAATTGAAAGAATTTGTTGCCACTCGTCCAGCCCTGCAAAAGATGCTTAAAGATGTGTTACACACAGAAACAAAGAAACACGGTCATCAATATGAAAGAAGGTAAAGGAAGGAAACCAAGGAAGGAAAGCTCACAGCAAAAGATCACAGGGAATTCAAAGCATATATTAGAACTTATCTTTGGCAAATGGCAGGGCAAAGTTACCACTTATCATTAGTCACATTGAACGTGAATGGCCTGAACTGTCCAGTTAAAAGACACCGTTTGGCTGACTGGGTTAAAAAACAAAACCCATCTATTTGCTGCTTACAAGAAACACATCTTTCCAACAAAGATCCATACAGACTGAAAGTGAAAGGCTGGAAAAAGATATACCATGCCAACAGAAATGAAAAAAGAGCAGGCGTAGCCATCTTAATATCAGACACCATAAACTTTACCACAAAAACCATTAAGAGAGACAAAGAGGGACACTACATAATGATTAAGGGATCAATTCAACAGGAAGATATAACAATTATCAATGTATATGCACCTAACTACAGGGCACCGGTTTATCTAAAAGATTTGTTAACGGACTTAAAGGGAGACTTAGACCCCAATACAATAGTACTGGGGGACTTCAATACTCCACTCTCAGAAATAGACAGATCAATAGGACAGAAGATCAACAAGGATACAGTAGATTTAAACGACACTATAGCCCAAATGGATCTAACAGATATATACAGAACTTTCAATCCTACAGCTAAAGATTATACATTCTTCTCAGCAGTACATGGAACCTTCTCTAGGATTGACCACATACTAGGCCATAAAGCAAGTCTCAGCAAATTCAAAAGAATTAGAATCATACCATGCAGCTTCTCAGACCATAAAGGAATGAAGTTGGAAATGAACAACTCAGGAATCCCTAGAGCATACGCAAACACATGGAGATTGAACAACATGCTCCTGAATGAACAATGGGTCATAGAAGAAATCAAAAGAGAAATCA